TTTGATTATGCCTTTTGTCTTTTCATCTCGGAAACTTTTTACCAGCTTTTTATTTGACCACCGCCCACTCTACAGGGTAGGCAAAAATTACGGTAACAAAGTAAAACGGTAATAAAAAGCAATGTGGTCGAGAAGTCCCAAATTAAAATTACAATCATGTTGGTGGAAGATTATCAAACAGAAAGCAATATTGCCCTTTGAAGTGACCGCTTTCTGCGTTGAGAAATAAACGAAGATTCCCTACTAAGTCACCCTGTTGTGTAGGTCGGTGTGGTAAAGTATGTCCAAGGCTTTCAGGAGCGACTGCTCGAACAGTCGATGCTCCTATTATGCTTATAGCAATGCTTTGCCTTCGGCACACTCAATACAGAAATTGTGGTAGGACTAGCGTTGGGAGAGCTATGTTGCCGCTTCCCCAGTATGATGATTTCCAAGACAATCGGGTTGCGTCGATTTTTGGGCAATTTCTGCATTGTGAATGGGCGCCCAATATTGCTCTGATGCCCTGTGTTTCCCATTGAAGGTCCTTACGGTATGAAGCATCAGCCGAGGTAGAAGGAGTTCGAAATGATTTTTACTATCCAGTTTTCTATCTTGAGCAGCAGAGGTCCGATGTGTCTTCGAATCGTGATTTCTGCTCTTGTGATTTCTGCGAAAGCCATCACTGAGTGGCTGAATGGCATTTCACTAGCATTGGTCCAGTTGCCCTTTTTATTCCAGAGTGGCCAGACAGCAGACCATCTTCCCACTAAGGGAAGCGATCGATAAATAAAGCTCATGACGGAATCCGTACAGTGACTTGTAGCATCTTTGCTTTCTAAATTTTCCCGAATCGGTTGTATGTTAAGCATTTTCATGATTGTAATCCTTTTTGTTAAGACGTGTGTGAACAAATCGTTGCAAGGAAGTGCGCTAGATAGCAGTTTCAGCGACAAAACGACGGAATGAACCAGCTAGCTTCCAGCGCTTGTTCGCACGTATCTTCGAGATATTACTCGTGAAGTCGCAGAAACAATCCTCTGAGGTCCAGGCCTATTGGCGCTGGTAACTAGCCTATTGAACTTCGTAATGGTGGCCGATGAAGGTTTCAAAGAGCTTCTGAACCCTCATGCAGTGCAACACAATCAAACAGTTCGTCGGAGCTAAGTAGTGATTGTTTCTCAAGGAGTTAAAAGATGTCCATCCCGGAGTGGATATATTTTATGTGACGAAATCAAAGAAAGAACACTGAGCTATCAAAACAAATGCATAGGATATACATCAGAAACTCCTGGTGTTTAAAATTGGAAATTTTTAAAGCCAACCTCAATTTTTGCCCACCAACAGCAGCACCTCTTTTACGTTTTGCCTACCTGTATACACTATAAGCCTCACAAGAAGATTGAAGTTCCTTTCCTGTCAGTATATCATATCAATTTCTCACTGTTTACAGGTATCGAAATATAATTATGCACTTCTTTGGTGATACCATGCTTTAGATGACGCCATCGTGACTTCTGGCTCCGTTTTTTCAGGACTAGTTTCTGGTATGTCTGAAACAGAGATTTGAATTTTGAAGGCGCCGTCAGTTCAAAGAACGCTCTAGTGCTCGTCCTCCCATTTGCTAAACTCTCCTTTCAGCTCATATGTACTTCTACATCCCGAGCCGTGCTCATCTCACCCAAACAATGAAAATCATCGATTAGTAAGGGATGAAAGGTATAGTTGTCCTCTTTTAGAAGCCCTTTTTGAGTGTAGTGTTCACTAGGCTTAACGAAATGTGAGGACACAAAACAAAAACAGAAATTGCACGTTCGAGAACGATAAAAACAACAATATAACTTCGCGAATTGGTCCCTTTGAGCGGAGTAACATATCATTAAGATCTCATGCAATGAGTTGCAAGGGAAGCCTTCCTAATTCTATTAATGTCCTGAATCTACATAATAGCAACTGACCAGGGATACCTATACGTGGATTCCCCCTGCCAGTTGCTATTTTTTCTGCTTAGGGGCACAATCCCAATTCTTCCTTTCAAAACTATTCCTGGCTGTGAACAGGTTTGCATTACTGCTGATGTCCGTATCGAAAAAGTTCTAGTTACTAATCGAGCGAGCGGTGACTCCACCCTGGGTTCACATATTTCCTTAAATTTGTTCAGGACGTCTTCCAAACCTACTTGCTCTCCTTTCCATTCTTCATTCCATAAAAAGATAGAAAATTCTTTCATTTTTTTAAGATTTGTAATCAAATCTTTCTCACTTTGCGACCATAGAACCACCAGTGACAACTTACGTTGAGCTTTATAGTTATTTTATCAGAGCTCTGTATGAAAGGAAGAGAATCGAGTACTGTCCAATTCTTCCTACTCAGTACCTGAGAATTCTTCGCCAGCTCTGCAGCAGCTTTACGACTAGGATTCTACCGCACAAGGGACGCTCTCGGAAAGTCATGCGTCAATTGAAACTGGAAGACATGGCAGTGAAGGATTAACTAGCTCTTCTTCCTCTTCGAATGTGAATTAGACTGATTCTTGATGCCCCTCTGAGATGTCCGCAATAAACATTGCTGAATGCAGTAGCGACGTGAAAAGCAGGTAAATCAACATAGTGAACGACCCACCCTCACAGCTAAAGGAAACGAATGGCAACTGAAGCATACAAGAACATCGAGGGAGTAGTGAAGAAGACGAAGAACATCCGGCTCCGTGCCCACCTCTTCGATTCCGCTGTCCTTCCTGCCCTAACCTACGCCTTGAGACCTTGGACTCCGCGCAGGTGGGACGAGCATGCTGACAGCGTCATTCATGCTGTGGAGAATCCGATGTTCAGAGTTACCTCAAGGATGGTAACTCAGATAACTCCTTCGGAAGTCGCACAAGCACGAGGAAGACCACCGGGTAGAGGTTTAGACTGCATTACATTCTGCGAATACAAAGAATAAATGGCTTCGAGTCTCTCGAGCTCAGAGATTCCAATGGTACTGTACCACGCGACGGGAACTAATGGAGACGTTACTGGCGCTTGCCCGAGGAGTTCGACCCACAGCGGGAAGACAGGTTACAAATGTGTAAAGTAGGTAGAGCTCTTAACTAATTTGCGAGATTGTATTTACCAGTGGTCAGGTTTCATATGTGATTTTTGTGAACAACTCACCTTTTCTAAAGTGTTATTTATTGAAAGGAATATTAGTTTGCCGCTTACCAGGTCTGAGCAAAGGAGTGGAAAAAAATCATCATTCACTATAACATCATTAGAGAAATAAGTCGGAATTTTGTTTCTGTGCAACTCAAATGTCATAAAAAAGTTGTTCGCTTAATTTCTAATTGAGTGCTTATTGACTGTCTGGTTACAAATGTAAGACTTGGCTTTGAGGCAAAATTGGCACCAAAGTGCGTCAAAGGTCCAGAAACTAATGTTAACACGTTGACGACATCGCGCGTTTCGTGTTTTGCACCGCATGGCATCATAGCGATTTTGTAAGCACCGCCACACCCAATTCAGACCCATGTCCTGAGGGCCATCGAAATTGTTGGGGGAGGGTAGGGATACCTTTACCTTCTTTCACCTACATATAGAGTCAGGAATATAGGAATATAGGAACACTGCTCAAATCTGAGGAAAAGAAGAAGGAAGTTATCCCCGTACACAGTGCATTTATTGACTAATTCCATACGCATTCATTGCTGATTCCATACTTAGCATTTCAGCAAAGCGGGCTCCAGAAGGTTATCAAGAAAGTACTGAGTCACATAATGTCACTCATGTGTTAGATTGTTTTACTGGATTGTAACCTTTTTTGGTAAATCGAAACCTACTTGGAATTTGGCCGTACTCGAGAATTTCTAGTGAAATAATTTTTTCATTCTTAATTCATTCTCCCATTTAACATTAATACACCTGTTTAGTGAAGAACTTGCATTGAAAACATATTAAGAATTGAACTGATTTGATATGGCAGAAAAAAGTTACAGTTGAAAAAGTTTTCCACCGAAGTTTTTCAAGCAATAGTGTAGCTCGACGACCTAATTAACTAATTAGCAAGTTTTCAATGCATGTGGTAAAAATAGGTGCAGCGTCTCGTTGACGCGACTAGGCCATTACGGCGCTCCACGTCGAAATAAGAGCCACAATCGTGACCAGGGCAATAAATACACGAAGAAAGAATAAGAAACGTTTCAGCAGTAGGCAGTTCATCTTTAAAATTAAAAGCTATTTCAAGAAAGGATCGCGGGGGACAATGTTGGCCACACACTAGCAATCGCCTCAGGCCGGATGATCGGTTTTCGAGAAAGACGCGGTGTCATTACTGCGTTAATCTTTTGACGGCAATGGCACCCAACGTTGGTGCAATACTGTTTACCGAGTCGGACAATTGCACCCGATGGTGGTGTGTCAGCTTTGATTTTGTGATTTGCACATTCAAAACATTTTAACGTATAAGCAATTAGTTGAAGCTTCATAATACTTAGGTATAGCATGGTTCACCGAAATGTTCAATAAGATAGTTTATATGGAATGTGAAGGAAAAATGATCTCTGAAAAATCTCTAGCTGATGAGTGAGGCTAACGCGGCGCGACTCCGGTAGCGATATAGGGGATCGAAAATCACCATCTACTTGCTCTGCAAAGCCAGTGAACTATGAGACTACTCGCCTGTAGTGCAGTACCGTACGCTGTCCCACCTCAGGCTATCCATTGCGGCTGGTTGTGAGTCTGTCTTTCTGTGGGTGCCATTGTGTATCTCCTGTCGCAACGTCAAGCCGCATTCTGTGATGGGAAGCTACATGGGAGGCGAGAACGGAGCAAGCCTTTTAAGAAGCGAATCGCTCTTTTCCGTTCCAGGATAGCGTGCTCATGCCGAAGTCTATCCTAGCCCGCACGACAGAGCCTGGCAAGCTACTCGTGTGCCTTCAATATGCCGAAAACAGCAATATGGATGGGCCTCATTCCCCTGAACCTGAGGGAGCCCCCAATACGGCAGCGTTGGGTAGGACCGCTCGGGAGAGGCTGCTAGAATCTCAGGGCCCGGATAGGCTGCCTAAACGAAGAAGGACTAAGATGGCGATCTGTACGAATCCGAAGCTCACATCGAAGACCTGATGATGCAGGCCAGGAAGATCAAGTACGACGTCATCGGACTGACCGAGACGAGAAGGCACCGCCCGCTACACGCCGTTTTCGATACTGGAGAAGAACTGTTCCTTGGAACATGCGACAGCAGAGGCGTGGCGGTGTCCTCGTCAACACGCACTTGGCCATAAACATCGATTCGTACGAAAGCCTTACGACCCGAATCGGACGTTTGAGATTGAGAAGATGTGGTTCAACTCCTGCTTTGACAATCTTCGTCGCCTACGCACCAACATCCAGCTACGACGAAGAAGAACACGAAGCATTCTATATGGAATTGGAGAAGTTCTACAAAGAACCTTTATTGAAGTCATCATCGGCGACTTCAACGGTGGCAAGAAGCAACTGTACATCGGTACTCATTGAATGGACTGGAATGAGCAGGGCAAAAGACTGTCTGAGTTTATCATGTCGACCAACACCATGGTAACTCACAGTTCCAAAAGCCCTCTCACCTTCGTTGGACTTGGGAGTCACCTGATGGACAGTTCCATAACGAGATAGACCACATCATCTTCAATCGAAGGTTTTGCCTGACCGACGTCGCTGTTGTTCCAAAGTTCTTAAAAAGAAGGGTGAGCAACTTCTAACATGCAAAATTTTCTCATTGCCATTGATTGTTTCTTTTCCAATTTAATGACTTTAGGTAACTTGAGGTCCGATCCTTTAGACTCGGAAACGTACTATCTATTACTTCACACTCCAGAATTTGTATTCAATCTGCGTTTAAGTTTTTTTTTTTCAGTTACGTAGAGACCAGTATACCCTTTTTCCTGGCTTTGAGTGTTGATGTTTAGCTCCTTTCAGATGAAAATCGCCATCACTATTCTGGTCTTGATACTTTTGATGAGCATACCTCCATCACAATCGATCTTTTGGGGGCTTCTTGGTGGCGGGGGTAACAGATGTTGCGGCTGTTGCTGCTGTTGTGGTGGCGGCGGAGGACTTTTTGGCGGTTTATTTGGCGGCCTGCTCGGCGGCGGTGGATGTGGCGGAGGTATGTACTTTATACAACTATCCTAAACAATAATCAAAATTGACGACCGTAGGCGTTCAGATTGTCATACTGCTCTCTCATAACCCATTGTATGCGAGATGCATTCGCAAAGGGGTGAAACACTGACACTTACCGTTGGCTCCCATCCTACATATTGAGAAACGGTCGGGCTGGTTTTCCATTGTTCGGAAGCAATGGAGTTTCTGCTCAGTTTTGTCCGGTCTCGCTTGCGTAACTGTCTCCCTAGTATGATTACCTTAGGTCCTCTTTTTTCCTCATCTTACAGTTCCACAGTAAAGCTCCTTTCGTCG